AATTCTCTTCCTCTGGCCCTCAACGGATCTGCCAACAGCACTAAATTTGTAGTCAACGGAACCGATTCCAACGCCCATGTTACAGACTTCTTCCTTGGTGTCGCCAATAGATCCATCTCCAGCGTCAATAGTACTGATTTCGTCCCTCTATTAGTCAATGGATCTGCCAATAGTACTGATTCTGACGCCAATTTTACGAATCATGTTCTTCTTGTAGTCAAAGGATCTGCCAATAGCACTGGTTTCTTTCCTCAAGCCCTCAATGGATCTGCGAATAGCACGGATTTCTTTCCTCAAGCCCTCAATGGATCTGCCAATAGCACGGATTTCTTTCCTCAAGCCATCAATGGATCTGCCAATAGTACTGGTTCAAACGTAAATTTTACCAATTCTGTTCCTGTTGCTCTAAACGGATCTGCCAATAGCACTAATTTCTTCCCTGTTTCAGTCAATGGATCTGCAAATAGTACCGGTTCTAACGCTAATTTGACTAATTCTGTTCTTTTTGTAGTCAATGGATCTGCCAATAATACTAATTTCTTTCCTCTAGCCCTCAATGGATCTGCCAATAGCACTGATTTCATTCCTCAAGCCCTCAATGGATCTGCCAATAGCACTGATTTCATTCCTCAAGCCCTCAATGGATCCGCCAATAGCACTGATTTCTTCAATCGCACAGTAAAAAGATCGGATTCCGGCGCAAATGTGACTGATTTCTTCCCAGTTTCTGTCAATGTATCCTCCAATAGCACTGGTTCTAACGCCAATTTCACTAATTCTCTTCCTCTAGCTCTCAATGGATCTGCCAATAGTACTGATTTCTTTCCTCTAGCACCCAATGGATCTGCCAATAGTACTAATTTCTTTCCTCAAGCCCTCAATGGATCTGCCAATAGTACTAATTTCTTTCCTCAAACCCTCAATGGATCTGCCAATAGTACTGATTTCTTTCCTCAAGCCCTCAATGGATCTGCCAATAGTACTGATTTCTTTCCTCAAGCCCTCAATGGATCTGCCAATAGCACTGATTTCTTCAATCGCACAGTAAAAAGATCTGATTCTGGCGCAAACGTTACTGATTTCCTTCCTGTTTCAGTCAATGGATCGGCGAACAATACTGGTTCCAACGTCAATGTTACCAATTCTGTTCCTCTAGCCCTCAACGGATCTATCAATAGCACTAATATTTTCCCTGTTTCTTTCAATGTATCAGCAAATAGTACTGATTCCAACGCCAATTTGACTAATTCTGTTCTTCTTGTAGTCAATGGATCTGTGAATAGCACTGATTTCTTCCCTGTTTCAGTCAATGGATCTGCCAATAGTACTGGTTCCTACGTAAATTTTACCAATTCTGTTCCTCTAGCCCTCAATGGATCTGCCAATAGTACTGATTTCTTCCCTGTCTCAGTTAATGCATCCACCAATAGCGCTGATTTCTTAGTGTTTGCCTTAAATGGATCTGATTCCAACGTTAATAGTACTAATTTCTTCCCTGTAAGTATCAATGGATCTGTCAATAGTACTGATTTCTTTCCTCAAGCCCTCAATGGATCTGCCAATAGCACTGATTTCTTCAATGGCACAGTAAAAAGATCGGATTCCGGCGCAAATGTGACTGATTTCTTCCCTGTTTCTGTCAATGTATCCTCCAATAGTACTGGTTCTAACGCCAATTTCACTAATTCTCTTCCTCTAGCTCTCAATGGATCTGCCAATAGCATTGATTTCTTCCCTGTTTCAGTCAATGGATCTGCCAATAGCACTGATTTCTTCAATCGTACAGTAAAAAGATCAGATTCCGGCTCAAATGTGACTGATTTCCTTCCTGTTTCAGTCAATGGTTCCGCGAACAATACTGGTTCTAACGCTAATTTTACCAATTCTGTTCCTCTAGCCCTCAACGGATCTGCCAATAGCACTAATTTCTTCCCTGTTTCAGTCAATGGATCTGCCAATAGCACTAATTTCTTCCCTGTTTCAGTCAATGTATCTGCAAATAGCACTGGTTCTAACGCTAATTTTACCAATTCTGTTCCTCTAGCCCTCAACGGATCTGCCAATAGCACTAATTTCTTCCCTGTTTCAGTCAATGGATCTGCCAATAGCACTAATTTCTTCCCTGTTTCAGTCAATGGATCTGCCAATAGCACTAGTTTCTTCCCTGTTTCAGTCAATGGATCTGCAAATAGTACCGGTTCTAACGCTAATTTGACTGATTCTGTTCTTCTTGTAGTCAATGGATCTGCCAATAGTACTGATTTCTTTCCTCAAGCCCTCAATGGATCTGCCAATAGCACTGATTTCTTCAATCGCACAGTAAAAAGATCGGATTCCGGCGCAAATGTGACTGATTTCTTCCCAGTTTCTGTCAATGTATCCTCCAATAGTACTGATTCCAACGCCAATTTCACTAATTCTCTTCCTCTAGCTCTCAATGGATCTGCCAATAGTACTGATTTCTTTCCTCTAGCCCTCAATGGATCTGCCAATAGTACTAATTTCTTTCCTCAAGCCCTCAATGGATCTGCCAATAGTACTGATTTCTTTCCTCAAGCCCTCAATGGATCTGCCAATAGCACTGATTTCTTCAATCGCACAGTAAAAAGATCGGATTCCGGCGCAAATGTGACTGATTTCTTCCCAGTTTCTGTCAATGTATCCTCCAATAGTACTGGTTCTAACGCCAATTTCACTAATTCTCTTCCTCTAGCTCTCAATGGATCTGCCAATAGTACTGATTTCTTTCCTCTAGCCCTCAATGGATCTGCCAATAGTACTAATTTCTTTCCTCAAGCCCTCAATGGATCTGCCAATAGTACTGATTTCTTTCCTCAAGCCCTCAATGGATCTGCCAATAGCACTGATTTCTTCAATCGCACAGTAAAAAGATCGGATTCCGGCGCAAATGTGACTGATTTCTTCCCAGTTTCTGTCAATGTATCCTCCAATAGTAC